TGGAGAGCGATAATTAGGACAATAATTAGGCTATAATATTGAACGCAAAACAATCATGAATATTTCAAAGTTTATCAAATGGATATTGGAGGATCTGCAATTGTTAACGACAGAGTTGAGAGTTAACAAGTGTGTACTGATCATTACGATTAAAATTCAGGACATTTCAAGAGAATTGGAACAAATAGATAAACACATTCTCTAACTCCGATTTCGCCACTCGCACTTTATTTAGGCAACCACAGAACTTAAAAGTACTTTTGTATGTAAGTGAGCTAAATTAGCATGTGATTGGATAAATAATAGCAAGAAGCATTTCGGAAGCAGCCCTCCAAGTGCAAACCCTCTTGCCCTCCCCCCTCCTCCCAAAATAAATTTTAGCATTCACTTAGAAAATAAAGGATTGGTACATCGGGAGAGGGGGATATGTTAAGCTTTTTCACATAAAGTTGCAAAATACCTTGTCTACTTCAGTCACATGAGACAGGTTTGTGTTATATAAGTTAATAAACCTTTTTTAGTGCTAAAGGAGGTGGGGGGGGGGGGCAGTTTGATAAATAACAAACCATTGTTATTTTTTACCATTGTTAATCTAGAATAGCGTTTATTGGGTTAGCTCATAGAGACTCACAACAGTGCCCAAAATTCGGTAACTTAATTGTCAAAGTATGAAATTAGTGGTGGACATCCCACTACATCTTTATTTAATACACATTGTAAATTTTCTTCTATTCTACTGTAGAAATCGATAAACCTTTCGTGATGATAATTAGTTGGTGAAGTAAGCAGTGTTATTTATTTGCTCATGGGCGTTATATAAAGAAGAAGAAGGAGGAGGAGGGGGAGAAGGCGAGACAAGGTGAATCTACCGCTCAATATAAACTCACCCCACCCCCACCCCCACCCCCACCCGCTCCCCAGCTCACCTCTAACTTGACCACCTTAACATTATCTGGATTTTTAAAGACTTTTCTGGGTTGAAAAGTCTCCTTTATGGCAGCGATCTGATGTAAATAATTATGAGAAACTGTTTTACGACGCATGCCATCTTAGTGGGTTATAAAGAGCATATTTCTTGCATCAGCTGATACTGTTTACAAAATATATCAATTTGCCTACCCCTTTTTTTTATTAAAAAACAATATTTTTATTGTTTTCACTTTAAATGATGTTTACTGAATCTGTGCCCCCCCCCCCTTCACTATGTAGATGTATTTGGGGGTTTATGAAGAGTCAAAGCAACTTTAAGAAGCTAATTAAGAATCTGACTGTTTAAGTGCTGTTATTCATAAAAAACTGATATTATTTGTTAATAAGCTATGAAAGTGGGACCTGAGATTACTTCTCAACCCCCCCCCCGTATTTTTGGTAATAAACCATTCAAAAATCTAATGGAGAAAATATCTTTTTGACATTCATCTGATCGCCGTCTTAAATGGGCCTTTGACCTTTACACCTGTATTGAAACCAACTGTCCACATTTTAAAAGTAACTGACTCGAAAATTTAATCTTTTGGAAAACCTTATTTAAACACCTCGAGTATTCTCATACAAACGATTGATTTGTTTAGTAATTGAATGGTTTCGAACATTGGATCAAATGTGATTTAAAATTTGTTTGCTTAGTTGTTAATCGTTAGCTATATTAATTTAAATTAATAAATCCGAAGTATGCTATTATAATATTGGTGTTTAAAAATTTTAAAACAGGTGTTTGACCTTAAGAGTCATAACTTGTAATTGGAAGGTCAAAATAAGATTCACGTTATGTAATATTTATTGGATATATAACGATCACCTTTGATTTTACAAACAGGTTGGGGAGTAAAGATATTTCCGCAAAATATTTTAATAAAAATATTCAATACATCACATTGTTTTTAACTTAATGAGCAGCCAAATTCAATATGGTAAAGAGTTTTAGAATTTGGATCGCTCATCACAAAGTGATTGGAAATGGCAATCAGTCTGGCTAGGTGAAAGGAAATTGTGAGTAGACTTTATTGTAGTACCATCAATTTACTAAAAGGAGTACAAAGATGCTACGCCCCATATATCCTACTGGGCATCACCCCTCTCCTCTTCTTTCGAGCATAAAAAACGAATTTCTGCACAATGTTCAGCACTAATTCGACCTCAAGAATATTGTCTTCATCTTATGAATATTCTGTCCATCATTCTATTTAGCCTCAAAATATTGGTTCTAAGAAATACACTTTAAAATCAGCAATTTCAGCTTTATATAATTTGTATGTACGTTGTGTTAACTCGCGAGATGTTACTCATAGTAATCTTCAAATCCCGTTAATGCCTATGGCATTATACCATTAATAATATAATTAATAAAAGTTTTCGTCGATGTGGGTTGTATTCGATGATAAAAGAGGACATCATTCTGCTTATCTGAGGCAAAATCACCCCCCCCCCTCTAGTATCCAGTCGCTAATATTTCATCCAAAAGCTGGCCCAACATTGAAACATCGGATTGGTCTTTATTCTTACAAATATCGGTTAACGGGACCTCGTAGTTAATCTCACTTCTGTTGAACTAATTGCATTACTATTGTGAAAATAGTGCTAAATGCTTCTTTTCTATGGAAAATTTAAGCTATATATATATATATAAATTAATAAACTATTTATTATTCCTGAACACCTAGGGTTCTTTCATAATTGAATTAGTTGTAAGAACACTTTGAAATAGTCGCCTACTTCTAGAAAGAGTACTTAATAATTAAGGAATTTTCTTCTGAAAGCATTACACAAACTTTGTTTTTTTTCGAACGGAGTAATTTTTCTCTATTGAACTTAACAGACCTGTCTGATTCTAAATGCTTCTCCTTTTTCTAATTTCTTTTAATAATACCTTGGAGTGATACGGGTTAAATCAAAACTTCCTTTAGTTTAACATTAAACTAAGCTCACGTATTATGATCTATCAACAATTCATTTTCTTTTTTTTATTAACTTACTTTAACATTAATCCCACAACTTGAAAAGTGATTACACAACTTGAAAGAAAATTTACATTCCAATTTTCGAAATTGAGATAATTTCAATTTCAATCCATTTTTATAAATAAGGAATAGGAGAACTAAAAGCAATGTTTTATTTAATATTTTATTTATATTAGCGTTCTGCTATAGTTTCTTTTCTCACTCAGAACTTCCCCTTGTAAAGCATTAGTTTCATTTTATCACTGCAGCCTTGTATCCACTCGAGCATTTTCGTTTGCAAATGAATTCCGACAACCGATTTGGTGCATTTTTGAATATTCAAACTCCCGGTAATATAGGCAAATGTGAGAATATTACTCAATTTACTGGATGCACAAGGTTGTAGCGGATTGCTACACTATACTCAGTAATCTCAATTGCAAATTCTCCTATGTTTGGAGAGACCCCCAAAATTAGCAAAGCTATAGAGGAAACGGACGTATCACGTGGAACACTTTTACTTGGAATGTGTCCTGTGTTTGGTGTGTGTACAGATAGGGAGCTTACTCATTATAGTAAAATGGCGAGGTTGCAAAAAAGTGTGAACTGTTGATTGGCCGTTGGCAACGGTGACAACATTGTGCTCCACAAGTTGTTAATCAGGTGTTAGATAATACGCACTTTGAAAATGGGAAATAATGACAATGTTGATGAAGAATGTCTTAATATGGATAAAGTACCCTTTACTTTGAGAGTATGTGAATGTATATTTAACAGGAGTAAAATTTTCTCGTCTTAAAATAATTAATGTGAAGGGAGTTCACCGCCAATGATATCGACGATATATTGCCAGTTTTACCCATGGAATACTAAGCTAGATTCGGTTTCCCAATTTATAAAATCCTGAAACAACCAGAATATCTCAATGTACAATGCGCAACAAAATTTTCGTTACATGTTACCTGACTAACGGCCAGAATTCATAAACGCCGAGCAACACTGGATAGAGGAATTGACAAGTAACTTTGATCAATGTGTGAGATTCTATTGGTAGCTCAGTAAAAGTGCAATTTCTCCATAAGTCAATTTCCATATCTTGGCAAAGTTGAGTGTTTATAACGAAATGTTGTTGATATGAGCAAATGGGAGGCATTGCGATAGCTCAAGAACAATTAAACATATTGATCTTGTGCTTGTCTCATCTTGCTTTCATACAATTAACGCAATTGACATAATCATTTATCGCCCATTAAACTAGATGATTCAAAGGGTCACAGCATGAAATAGTTTTCAATAGATTTCAATTCTGATGGATATAGATGCCTTTAAAACCAAGTGATACTGCACTGGTTAACCATAATTTTCAGAATTTCAGATATGTCAGAGACATGAATGAATTTCCTATTAGATGTTAATTTTTAAAAAAGGCTTGTTTCGACACTTTCCCTAAACAGTTACCCACATGCCCCCATGAGTCATATTAATAAAGCCGGGGTGGGCGGTAGACTTACTTCCACGTGATGCACCTTGGGCAACGGCAAAAAATCTATTAACCGGCAGTTGACTTCTGACTTCAAACTACAATCATCCCACTGTATGTCATATTCCGCCACTTTCACAGTACTCACCTCACCTTTTTTATACCTTTTCCGACTTCGTCTTTAAAACACTCCTCCGTTCCCAACCCCCCTCCCCCTCTCGAATTTTTTGTCACTTTGATGTTCCTCCTCCTCCTCCTCTCTGTGAAGCCTGAAATCAACTAATGGGCTAACGATAACCATCAAAACGCCTGCCCTTTGATATAAATAAATATTGATAAAGCCTGACAAACCTCATCTGCATTTTTTCTCAACAAAATAAAATGTTTGTATAAAATATTTCGACAAATTGATGTAATATTTGCTTCATCCGCCAGTCATTAGAGGGGCTAAGAGTGCGAACGCAACGTTTGAGCTAATCACTAGGCGTTCAAAAATGTGGAGAAAACCAAGCACATGTCAGTTGTTAGTAAAGGAGTTAACACGGAGAGCACTTGATTGAGAACAAAGCGATTTAGATGGAGGTTTACATATTGGGGAATTGATCAGAAGACGTTTGGTAATGAAACTTTGAAATCAAAGCATCGTTAGCCTCCTTTATGGCCAATTCCAACTCCTTCAGGAGTCCCTTAAGTCTCACATTTTCTGTCTTCAAGAATTCGACTTCTTTTATTTCCTTAAGAAAACGATCCCTCCTTTGAGTCCTCGACTTTCGTGAGGCTTCATTGTTCTTTCGTCGGCGCTCTAGATCCTTTTCCGTTTTTGTCTGTGTTGTGTTATCAGTTCTAGGCTCCTTGTCGGCACCATTGGTATCAATCTAAAAGGGACAATAGTGTGGATTGACGAAGTTGTTAGCTGTACCACGTAAATAAAGAAAAAAAACTATTATTAAACAAAGGGGCTGCGAAAACTCACGCCCTTATGAAAAGAGTTTGAGGGCATTTCATTTATAACAATTTCGGACTCAGGTGCCGGCTGGTTACAAGCCTGTTCATCCGAGTTGAAACCGACACTTGCGACATCGCTGCTACTGAGAGTACTAATTGGGGAAATCGTTCGTCGCTGATTACCTGTGGAAACGTCCATATCTACGAGGGCTTGGGTAGCTGGAGGCATCTGGGAGATTGGATTACAACCGAATCCGTAATTGGGAAATCCGAAATATCTGAAGGTAAGTTGAACTTTATTATTCGTAAACATGTTGTGAAGCGGGATTTCATATGGAGTTTCAGTGAAATTTGTTAAAATAAGTCACCACACAAAACATGTAAGAGCTTTCAATTGTATTTAATTTTAGTTAATTCAAAGAGTTTCGGCAAAGTTATTCCAACGATGTGTAGTGTTTTGTGGAGTAATTGGACTGATACGATTGAAGAAAAGAAATCAATTTTTGCTAGTGCAAGTATTATTATATTAATTTTTACACTTTTGGGAACATATATGTAAAAGCTCTGAATAAAATTTTACTCGTGTGTTTATCGTTTGTAAAACTACAAAGGTTCAAGTTGGCGTTATGACAAAGAGCCAAGCAATAGCCTTCAAAGTTGGTATTGCAGGATAACTGTGAAATACTTCAAAGAGGTGAAAATTGCATATTTATAATAATTTAGTGACTAAATCTTCTTTGCCAACCGGCCTATTTCTGCATTATTTTGCAACTGATGAGCCAACATTTCTGAGAAGCCGAGGTGTTCCACAACCATGTCTGGGTGCATTTATTCGACAGTTTGGATGAAGTGTTGATTAGCATGAGTATATTCACAAATACCCTGATTATCTAGCAGTACACAAAATCACTTCATTTACTTCCTTCGTAAGCAGTTTTGAGTTGCATTATGCCAAGAGAACCTATTTTTATTCCCTGACATCTTCCCACCGTCAAATGCAAACGCTATAGAAATCATATAGGACCCAAAATGCCTCCTTATCCATATCCACCCCCCCCCCCTCTTTTGGCCTCTTGAGTATTAGAGGAGAATGAATACTACATGGCAAAATGTAAGAGCATCTCAGTGATTTCATAATATTGAATTTGATATTCGACATTATGATGGATATTTAAAAACGCACTACTGCTTCAATTTGATTTTGTGTGCAAGAAAGTTCAAAAAGCGACGGATATAATTCGGTAGAATAATTCTCCAGTGCCGTAATTCGAAAAAATTATGATTTTTCAAACGTGAATGAAGTAAGTAGCCTACCTCAGACTTTGTTTTTAAAGGCGCGCTCTCTAATAGTTGCTTATATGTATGCACTTCCGTGTATACATCTCTGTATCTCTGTGTGACTACCGATCGATAAAATAACCTACGCTTAGTGAAGCGTTTTATCGATTTTTCGCCATATAAATGAAATGTGAGTTGCGAAAATTTACGCGAAGTCTTCAATAGTTAAATAACGGTCTATTGATTAATTATTTGGCCGCTAAGTGAATTATCGATTTCTATAAACGAATTAGTCGAAGTCCGAAATTTTAAACTTTGACTACTAGTCTTAATTTTATTTTCATTTTGAATCAAAAGCCGTTTACCAATTATTGATTCTATTTCTGAATTCCAAATTATAGTTAAAAATGGTGGGTATTTTAAACTCGACTTACTTCATTTCCTGAATTGCACTACTACTAATGGCGTAGTTCGGCTGGGGCGTGGTACAATTCTCCCTGAGAGGAGCAATCGGAAATTCTTGAATTTGGAAGCGGTGTTCGGGTACATTGATAGAAGAAAGGTAGGAGGAATACTGGGAACCTGGAATCGGCTGATAGCAAGACTCCCCATACCTGGGCGGATAGTAATTGGAATGCCCAGTGTTCCAGTGCGGATTGTGATTGGTAGTGTAGACCGTTGGTGTGGAGGTTGTGAAAGCATCATTTACTATCTGGTAGTGACTCGATTCTGATCGGTACTGACGATAATCATCAAACTGAAGGCTTTGTGGAGCAAATGGGACCATGTTATCCTTATTGATTTCCCTTTTTATTATTCATGTGTGAAAGAAATTAATAGTTAATTATTTTCTTATATCACATACTACGTCATAAAGTCTTATTCTTGTATTTCTTCCATTTTTTTTAAATGTTTAGTATTTTAATTTAAAGGATACAATTATGGAAAAGGAAATATAATTATAATTAGGATAAATTTACCTCACACATGAATTATATTGGGGAAGAATAAATTTTCCTTTTAAGTCGAAAGAACTTAAACTAATACTGCTACTACATAATAAGCTCATTGGGTTTGTCTAAATTACCTCTTTATGTTGGCTTTAAAAGAGACGTAATGTCTCAAAATTCACTGAAGAGTCAATGTGTCAAGTGATAAGCTTTTCAAACTCACGTCCCCTGCGAGGCAATAGAATTTATTTAAATGTTGTCTACTACAGCCTCTTGAACAATTTTCGACACCTAAGAAAGTCCAAATACTCATAGACCGTCCATGGTGGATGTCATCTGCTTAAGTTCATGTCTCCAGAACAATCCATTCTTAAGTAGATTCTCGAATGCTCTATTAACTAAGTAGAAAGTGCTTTAACAAGCAATTGTGTAATTGTTAACGAATGTTTTTTTCGGTTAAATTCTTTTGATTCCTCCAATGGACTATTTTAAGCGTGGTAGATATTTGTCGTTCCTGCTTGATTATTTCAGTAGTATCTGCTATTAGCTTTAAAAGCATTACTCTTGTATTCAATCATTATGAAATTTTAAGAGACCCAATTCTGTAAATACTGAAGATATATTTCTTGGACTACTTGAGGTCACGCAACAGGATTTCCACTTAATGGATATTAATTGTTTAAAATGAAAAAAGATAATTTTTCAGCATAAAGTCAAATCAGAATTGCTTTGTTGGATTCAACCAAGTTGTTACTATTTAACTGAGTAAACAAATAATTTTATTAAACATATATGCGTAAGTAAACTTTGTAATTTTTTTAAAAAAATTCAATTCATATGACCAAATGTAATCAAAAGACTTAAAATTTAATGGACAAAATTACTTGCAATAGGATAATGAAATGCATAAATGTTTATTGATAAAAGTTTGCGGAAATCTGTTGTCTTGACATTGGTGTACATTGTTATCTTTAGATTTTTTGCTATTTAAAAGACAAGAGCTGAGTAGACAATAGTCACCAATTTCCGTAGTTTGTAAAAGCATTATATGCATTGATTTTAGTACAATAGGACAAAGTGAACACTTACTATGAGATAATATTTCTAGATAATTCCTCAATTTTGGATCGATAAGATCAATACTTTGAAGTGGTGAGAATATTAAAAAATGAAGTTGTTGAGACGACTTTGCTAATGCGTGTCTTCGCCGATATGGGTGTGCAACTAAAGACAACGTGCGAAGATCGTGTTAGAACCTATCAGGTAACACCATTAAATTGTGCTCATTTGAGAGCTGAGTCAACCAATCATAGTGCCAGCTGAAAAGATTGCATAATTATTGTGTATTTATATCACCCGGAACGGTAAAAACTGAGTTTATGTTTTATTTGTCCATTTATTTTTACTCCAAGTGAGCTTTTCATAAAACATAAAGCATATTTATTAAAGGTATTAAATCATTAACATAGGTATCCTATGGGCACATCTTATCAATTCATTTAATACAATCATAAACGTAGGAATTAATTAATTACTAAGTATCGTACTTTTTTCCTCATAAATATGCCGGATAAAAAGTGAAAGCTCTACCGTTGGCGTTTAGTGCCCACAATTTTGGGAGTTCTTCAGAGAACAATTTTTGTTCAATTAAGATCCTACGAGGACATTACTGTGAAAAGTTGAAGTCTACCCATATTTACGCAGGCAAATATTTGATATCGCGCATATGGCTAGTTTGAACATGAGAACTAACCGATGATTAAAAGATAAAAAATTTTCAAAAGGATTTGTTAATTCAAACACATATTCACTATCTTCCACCGGATTTCCCAAAGTTAATCGATAAAGTCATTCGCTTTCATCAAATTTATTAGAATATACAATAAAACAAGATGATGACGGTTAAAGACCCGTCAATACAATCACTGAAACTACTAAATGCATAAGTAGATTTAGGAGGGTTTCTTTTGCTTCTAATTACGTTAATGTCGTTAACTCATTGAGTTGAATTAATGCTAAAACTTCGTCGAAATTCTTGCTCTATTGAATTCTCCTTTACCAGAAAGCATATCATTAAGCTAAAAATGTTCATTTTGTTACGGAATAATAACATAAAGTATCGTAAATTGCAAAGCTGGCATTCAAAGTTGTGGTATATCATACTGCGACGATAAATAAGGACTAGAATTTTTTATATTAAATGCTAAAAAATTCCTCCATGAAAATAAATTTTTTTCGGTTAATCACTTCCTTAAAATAATTTAGTTATAAAATTAACATAAAATTTTTAAACATTGATTGTTAAGTCTCAATTGTTTTAATCTGTTCTACGGTCATCATAGTAGATGAATGGGATTAATGATGAACAAGAAAAAGCATATTTATTTTAAATATTGCAATTAATCAAAATTACTAATGAATTAAGCCACATTAAAATTGCGGTAAAATTTAAAGATAACCGAAAGTGATTTCAGTTTTTATTCTAATTTCATTTTATTATTCATCATCTCGTCTGCACAGCGCTTAGTGCTACTTAGTCTCTCAAGTATTGAATTATCATTTTATTTATATTGGTAAAGTGCTACAATGTCAAAATGGGCACATATTCTTTACATTCCATTTAATTCCCATGAATTTTGATTTTACTTAGCCCAATGTACCTAAAATTTTAGCATTATAGCTCCAGTAATGTAGGACAAATTTTGCCCAAATGGGCATTAGACGTCTTTATTATCCTTTAGACACTAATTTTCAAACTAGCTCATCATAACTAGGCTGTTATTTAAACTCCGATGTTAGCGAAAAGGCGATGTGTTCTCAATTGGTTAATGGCTTCGAGCAAAAACAAATTATTTTTTCAATAATCAAGACGTTTCCAGTCTTTTATCCTATGAAGTAATGCGATAAGGAATTCAGCTTAGAGACGTTTTATAATGGCATGACATTTTATATTTGAATTTTGATTTAAAAAAGAAGGTCCATAAACTCGCATTAATAAAATAAAATGCAGCGATGTACATTTATATTAAATTAGCAGACTCCATTGATTAAATCAAAAATTTAAATATATAAATAAATAATGTTTACTATGCCGGAAAATTGCCAAATCTGTTAACTTTAGGTCTTATTAACCGTACTTTGGTAATACTACAATAGTCTACTTATTAAGAAGGCGCCAACTGCGTAAGCCTTTCATCAAAGGGTCGTTGCTTTTTGTAGTATTATTTCAAAATGTCAAGATTTGTCAGACAAGGTACTATGAGTAAGGTAAGTTTAATCACAGTTTTATATTGAGTTTCATTTGTGAAATTGCATATGGGTTAATCATTTTACACTCAAATTGTCTAATGTGTTGTCATTCTTCTTCGTTATGAAATATGTACAATTCTATCTTTTAGATTCAACTAGTTAATTATTTTATAATTTTAAAATGATCTTTGCTCTGTGAATTTGGGTTTACTTATTGTTTTTAACTATTTTTTAATAATTATTACACCTTTTCAGAATCCGAAGTTGCAGGATGATATCGACAGAAACCTTAAATTACGTGAGGGTGCAGCTCGAATTTTAGGCATGGCTGCCAACACAATCCAACGTCTTGATGCTGCTAAAACTATCCTAGTCAGCAATGCTCGTCTCGTCGTCTCTATGCAACAGCTTCAACGTGAAAAAACCAGTGAAGCCACAGCTGCAGTTACTCCGAGTGCTAGTAATAAGATAGGTGTTTCATCAGGAAAGCAGTTCTGTATTGGCAAAGCCACTCTTTGTCTATCAGGTATATTTTTTCTACCATATTATCTTGCCTATTGGCATTAATTGTGTAAAAATTAAAATTGGATAAGTTAAGGAATTCGGCATAGTAGCTATATGCCTAGCCCTAAATTTTGGTATTGTCTGCGGAATTTGCTAGTTTTATCTTGTTCGTTATTTATATTACCTCTTGGAATGCTCGTATTTTCCCCCTTCAAATTATTTGTTATTATCTTTTCAATACGCTTCCTAAAATATTTTGGCAATCATCTTACTCTGAGTTTGCCGTTTAAATTTAATGTTTCTAAAGTTAAAACATTACATTCATATCATTATGGTTAGTTCTACTATGTTAATTTGTCATTCTATCTTACGCGATCATTAAAGAGTTGGATTAAATAGAATTAGAGAACTTCTTCCCAACAGTCAGGGTCTTCATTCACTCGATTTTTGAATCAGTCATTTTTTTCTCATTTTGCTTAGGTGATATGCTTTGCGATTTCATGTCAGGTTCTTCCGCATTTCAGTATTTAATCCTTATGTTCCTTGGTCTGTTTATGTCTAGCTAGTTAATAAAATTACTTTATTGGTCATGCTATCATGATTAATACTCTTCTTTCGTTTTATATTAACGGTTCTTTTCACTTTTAAGGCATTCGTATTCCTCTTCTTTGGAAGGATACATCACTTACTCCCAATGCTTCATCGACGCTCAATAGACTTTTGGATCCTAATTATCAGTGGACATCAGCAAATCTTGGTGGTGGTTACTCTTCCCTCACCCTCACTCGTCATCAACGACCTCTCTCGGCTGTCCTTTCATCAATGGGGAATGCAATCGGGGAGAATACTGGAGAATGGTGTTCAGCCTTCTGCATTGTCCGTGTAGGTGATCAGATTAGAGAGACTCGTCTGCTCTGTGAGGTCCGGCCTGGAACTTCTGATCTGGAATTTGATGATGTGCTCACTTTGTAAGTTCGAATTGTGGTGTGTGCTTGTATGCGTGGGTCAGGTTACATCTTTCGTTAATTAAAATGAGTAACTGTATGGAAGAGTTTCCGATTTTGGAATGTGAATATTTAATATTTTAACTATTCTGAAGTTTCTAAATTTGCTATTATCCGTTATTGTAGATATTTTTGAATGAATTGTAAATTCACTTTGTTTCTGTTTATTTTCTTATTGCCAATTCCAAGTCCAAACGTTAATCGCTTACCGTTAAATTATGGAGTAATATTTTAAGTCACTTGTTTGTTGGGTTTACTTAAAATGCATTTAAGACTCTCTTTTGCAGTCTAAGTGACCTTCATCGTGGTGGTAGTAGGTGATTATGCTCTTCATAGACAAAGCCCCCTTAACTGGTACCAAATTCAAGTTCTTCCATGTTTCACTGAAAGTGTGTGTTTAAAATAATAAACAATTAGAATGGAGCTTGTAAACCAGTTTATCCGAAGCTAGCATAAACAATAGAGTGTATATTTTTTTCTTTAGCTCAAATCGTATAACATGGTACGTTTCTTACTATTATACCGATTATAAAAGCTCACAAATTACCTACGCACAATTTCAGGAAAATTAAAATGAATTTTTATCTGCTAATTAGTATGAATTACTGTATAAAAGCATACTTCATGTAATTAAAATAGTGATTTATAGCAGTCGCACTAACTTGAAAATTGATACTTCTTTGTACTTTGCAGCTCATTTTGAGCAAATAATTGCTTCATGTTTTTGGTCATCTTTAGGTATGATTAATTGCCAAAATGTGCAAACTTTGGTACATTCAGTAAATACTCGCTAGCTTTGGTCGAGCACTTTTATTCCTTTCAAGTTCACCATTCCATCTTCCAACTCCATTTTGAAAGCCTATTCTGGTCCTTAGTTAGAGGATACGGTACCACTAAGCCTCCCTTGTGAACCACTCAATTTCTTCCACTCTCTATTGGTCACTACAGTCGGTTATTCCATCCACTTTATATTCAGCAATGGTTATTGATTACGCATATGAATTCCCACCAGTCAGCAAGATAGTTATTTACAATTTCTTCAGGCGCTTGTTTCGCTATTATGAATTGATGTTTTGTTATTATTTTTACAATCATAGTCTACCTCTCTATCACCTCTTTTCTGAAATCTCTATTTTGCTGAAACATTTTAGGCAGTTCGCTTGAACAGAAATAATGCTAGAAACGAAAACAAGCAAACGGAAGGGTGTATGACCTCTGGAAAGTGCTTGCATTAACCTTTTTCTTTATCTCAATTTCTAAACCTTCTCTTTGTATATGGTCTTTACACTATAATTGCCCACAATTTTGAGGGGGAAAATAGTTGAAAGCCAAGTTTTTAATATTTGTATCTATAAATCTCGCTTCTTCCCCATTGAATTTGTTCCAGCTTTCGCTTTTATTCGGATTTGATATCGTCTATTTCATTCTCGCCTTTTTTTATTTCAGTGAAAACGTTCTGCCAGACTTCGAATGCACCATAGAAGTGTATGGGTATCAGAGCACTGACCAGGGCTCAATGAGTTTTTTGCGTCGCAAATCCCGCGCGGATACTGACTCTCTCGCTCATCGTAATTCCGTCTTTCTCGGTACTCTCACTCCTGAATACACCAAAGTGAGTCCTTTCTCGTCCTTCTCCCCTCCCCCCCCCCACCCCCTACATCCCCTCTTTTCTCCGTTTTGCTTTATTTCTTATCGGTTAAAAGCGCAAGCTATTATTTGTTTGAATTATCTGTAGGTTTTTTATAATTAGCTTATATATTAGTCAAGCACAAATTTTGTGTTTATCTTATTGGTTAATTAATTTTGTTGTCAATACCAATTAGTGCCTTTTGTTTTGTTTATTGAAAAGGGTTAATTCAGTCGTAGTAGTGAAACTATGCACGGCAATAATATTGGGTTTGCCGTATTTGCTTTATCGTTCTTGGTATTTTTAAACCAATTAGACTTAAAGGTACGAATACGCTCGCTAATGCATGTTGTAAGCGTGAAATATTAAGGGGTTTACGCATGGGTAACACTGAGGACTCTAGTTTTAATAAGTATTACTATGTTACGCCTTATTATATTGTGTGAATTGCTTCCGTTTAGATAGTCATGAGAGGTAGAATTGATCCCAGTGGCACGTCAATCATATTCCAGGTAGTGTGCTTCAAGGGGGTTTTCCATTTGATTAGACATTGGAAATCCGGATACTACAGTGACTGGGTGGAGTAATGGAGTTTTATACCCGACTAGTGGGGAATAATTGCGTCCCAGAAGACAGAATGCCTGTTATCTGTGCGAATAAGCATCCAATTATGTTGAAAGGTCAATTTTAACTCTAAAATCAACCTGCGCTTATTTCGGGTTTGTCTGGTATAAACCATACGGCTTTTTCTTGTCGTTTAATCATTTTTCGAACTGTCATTCCTTACCTACTTATGTGAGTTACGACCTTTTCAGTGGGAGATGTAAAATATAAATATTTATAATCCTTTATGAGTAACATTATTTTAATCCATAGGTATGCATCTTAGTCAGAGTTGTTACTCATTCTAGTTGATATTCCCTTGTCTTTTTCTATTTTTTTTGTAGGATTCAAAAAATGGCCAACGTATATCAACTCCTTCATCCTCGTAAGTTGTTCTTTGGTGCAAGTTTGTGAATTTTTTTCCCATGGTGGGCTTTAAGTCACGTGTGTGTGTGTGTGTATGGAATTAGGGTCGGTTGGTTAATTTAGTTGATTTTGATCTTCATGAGTCCTATTCTCCACTTCAATTCTTCAGCTTTGTGCCTGTGTCACTACTGCGAGAAGGTTAACCCTATGATTAGACGATGAGCTTGTTTTTATGAAAATCCTACATGGTTGTCGTGTGTGGAAAGTGCTCTTGAGCTTCTGGGCACCATGTTAGTACTAATCCATATTCATATTGATTGTGGCTGTTAAATTCAGACTAAGTCGGTCTTACTTTTTTGGTTTTTTTTCTAAAGAGAAGACTTGCCATTGTGAACTTACTTTCTAGAATGTTCTAGAATTTTCAATGTGTGTTCTGGAATTTGAGTAGAATGGGAAAATGCTTATGCATGATTTCCAAATACTACTCTAAACCCAGCATTACTTCGTATTTTGGTCCAAATGACTTCCAGATTTGCTAATATTGCCTATGGTAATGCAAAAACCGTCCGACTTTCATTAATTAGAGTTTAAGTTTGTTAAAATGTTAATGTCTGCATATTAGAGGCTTTGCTTAATTTTTTCAGTTCAGTGGAAGAATATTTACTTGGTAGGCAGTACTCTATCTGAAACTCAGATTTCATTATTCGTTTTACGATATCCCGTTTTTATTGGTCGATTTTTTTCATTGACGTCATTTTATTTTTACCTCCAGATGCTTAATGAGTAGAATGATCGTATATGATTTTAGCGGCTTAAATGTTCTAAGTATAGCATGGTTGAGTTAATTAATTATTTTAAATTACTTTATTTATTCCCAATTGTGTGAAGCACTTAAGTGCTCTCTTTTTAACTAGCTCTGCATTCGATTGTTGTTTCACTCTTGTGGCTCGCTACATAGCCAAAATTGCTGATCTGGGGTCAAAGGTCAATGCACATCAGTTGGAACTCCTCTCGGCACAGAATCATAACACCTCTCTTTCTCACCTCTTCTTCTCTTCTCCATCCGCGTCGTCATCGAGTAATGTGAACTCCAGCAATGTCAATACCCTCCTCTCCACGGTATCTGCTTATCCCACTAGTGAGAATGCTTTGCCATTGTTTGGCCCAATTTGCTTCTCACTGACTGCTCAACCGAATTCTGTACACAAACCTTTGCGTTCTGGATTACTTTTGATTCGGGTAGGTGCTCTGACCTGTTCATTATGGGAAGTACTTCTCTAAGTTCACTAACTAAGGAAGAAGTTATGAAACTTGAGGAAAACTAACATTGATTACACTATCGAGGGAATGTGGTATTCAATCAATGAGTATTCTTTTTGTTGGTGAATAAACTTGAAAGTCGTGAACATTTTCTCAAATATCACTAAGTAAGCCTAACGTTCACTTTCACCACTTTGTGGTTTTCGCATTCTGAATAAATTACTAATATATTCTGTAGCCCTCTGGTTAGAACTCCATCTTCTTCCAACTCTTACCGGTCTGAACTAACTAACGTGATTACGCATTCTGCCTATTAAGTGTGCGTCGTTGGTCTCTTGTATACTGCCGGTTGGGACAAGGACATCCCTTCCACAATCGGCGTTCTGTGCTCCCAGGTTTGTATAAGTGTTAGGGTTAGCAGCTGATAGCATAGTTAGATCACCCTTCTCTTCTCCCACTTTGTTCTTGGTTCTTTTTAACCTCTAGGCTTTCAGTGCTAGTATGGTGTAAGGTGCTCAAATCTCATCCTGTACTTGGTTCTTTTAAATCCAGACGTACCTACTGCTAAATGGATGGGGATAGTCATTAAAAAATCGTCTCATAGAGTGTGTTTTCAGTTGCTACTTAGTTTGGTAGATCTCTGCAATTTCTTGACATGATATGTTGATTGAAATTAGGCTCAAGTTTGCTCTTCTTTTTTAGACAGTGAACGATGACGCCGAGACAGATATGGCAAAGCTGTATTTCTGCGAATTGCAGAACCAATGTCTCTACGCGAGAATGGTTAAGCCAAGTGAACGCAAAGCGAATTCAGTTAGCTATTTTAGCCTCATCTTTATCCACTATTTTACCTATTTCTTGTCTTAACTGTCTTGCTTTTTGGTTGCAGTCTCCGGTGAAATGCGAAGAAATCAGCCTCAGTGAATCGCTGAGTGGAGTTAGGTTACGGAATCCTAAAATCGGCATCCCAAGAAAACCTCAGTGCAAGTGGGATCTCGTGGTTAAAGTCGATCCCGTAAGTCATATGTGGAGGGATCACTAATTATCATTATTTTCCATGTTATTTGTGCAGCGTACAAATTGTAATCAAAAGTAATTTCTTAAGCGAAATTAGATATGGAGTGGATTATATCCGACTTATCAAACACAACTTGAATCCTTTGATTTCTGAACTCATTGGTTTGTCTTATTTTTGCTTAATGTATAGAGCTTATCGTATCATATTCTATTCTCGCGCTAACGTGAAAAAAAGTTGCTCCAAGCCTGACTGACCTCGCATTCTTTATTAGGTCTTTAATGCTCTTAGGACCTTACAGCCCTCCTTAAAAATGAACTCCATTGGCACTAGACTCATAACAGAAGGCGCAATTGCCATTTGAAGCATGTTCAATACGTGTCTATAGCCTTCGTCTGAGATACACCACCAAAACTCATCACGTCGGTGGCATCAGTCTGCTGCTGTGAGACGCGTGGGTTCGGCTGGGTGCTTTTTTTCAAAAAAATAAATCGGACGTTAACGGGTTAAAACTCCATCTGCAATAGTTCTAGGTCGAATTGTACTCACATTCGAACATTAAATGCTGGCGATTGGAACAGTCTATGGTGCATTTTGTTTATTCCACCGATTTATCTCGCTGTTTATATAAGGGGTAAAGGTACTTTGCTTTTTAAATGGCTATGCTAAATGGACCTGAGAATGCCGACATTAGTAGACTAAATGTTCTGTGCTTTTTTTATCCATGCCTCGTGGCTTTTCTATTCGAAAAGAACGAAGTCTATAACTTGCATATTTACCTAAATATTTATAAATTTTCTCAGAGAATTGTCATGAGTTCTTTTCAAGGTGCTGATTAATATTTCAATGACTTATTTACTACAAGCCATTCTTTTCTTTTAGTAATAAATAACTTGTCTGTCTGGGCAGTTCGGTTTCGAAAATCATGCTTAAATTGAGTAAATCGATATGCCAATGGCATGTCATATGTGCAGTGGGTGGTTACCAAACACCTGAATAAATTCTCTCTACTCTAGCAGAATTTTTTGCTTGTGGATTTGACTTTTGATTATTAACTCCCGCACTTGTGCTTGGCTATTAAATCCCTTTATTACACTGTCTCACCTCGTTTTTGACTATGGAACTAACCCACCCATTCGTTCATTTCTTCTATTTGTGAGGTGATTTAAGGTGGGAATTAATTTACTGCGCACTTAACCACGCATTGTCCTGAACTTATTCATATGAAAATTAAATCATATTGTCTAATTAGGTCAATATGGTGATCTATTCACTTCATTGTCTCATTCGTAATTTGCGTGCCGTCACATTGTTTTCCTGCGCATGAAATGAATCCTTTTCGAAATGCTGAATCCCACTAATTTCTATTTATCTGTTTTGGCATCATGGGTTATCGAGGCTCTATATGCACTAATGTAAACTTCTACTTAAGTTAATGAGTTTATTTTGAATGTCCATGTGCATCGGGGATTGGTAGCAATTCCTTATAAGCTTTTTGTTATATGTGGACTTCTGGACGGCAAGCAGTATATCTGCGCTATCTTCCATTGCCTTGTTTTTTTCATTCAACCGTCGTCGTCTCTTTCAGTCCACCCAATTCCTTGATGATGAGCCTGTTTCTCGCGAACTTCCTCTTTTCCTGAAATCCCTCACTGTTGAAGAACGGGATCATCTCTTCCTCAGTTCATCGAAACCCGCGAAACAAAATGGAGGAGAAGCAGTATTGCCTAAGCCAAAACCTCGCCGCTCAATGTCCATGGGTGGTGGGTTTGCCATTCCACCTATTGCCGCCTCATCTCCGGTCAAAGCAGTGGTGGAGGGAAGTGGTTTTCCAGTTTACGATGGGAAAGAAAATGGCGCAAATGAAGGCGACAAAAGCAACAAGTGTCTAAAACTTCCCCGAAATAAGAGCATGAACGAAGTTCAGCAGCTACTGCTTTCACCCAATCTCCCCCATAGTTTGGTAAGAAGGATGCCAACTCTACGTATGTCTTCCAGGCTTTGTGTTGGGGATCAAAATTTGAGTCAGAAAACTGATGATCTGGAAGCAGAGAGTATGGAAAGAGAAGTAACCCTTGAAGTGGCTGCTTTCGATTCATTCTTCTCAGCAATTGAGGGTGGAAATGAGGAGGATAGTGTACCTTTGTTGGATTGGATATCTGCTATAAAGGATCATATTGAAGAGCAAGGTTAGTTTAACTGTATGGTATTAGTTTTATTGATGCTCACTCAATATTACGCCAGTGCGTTTTTTGTTCAGTTGGTGGAGTTAGTTTATTTAAAGGCCACGGAATGGAGTCATGTTAGTGCACATGACTAACCACCTGCTGACAATGAGGTCAATCGTTGTGTGGGTAGTGAGCACCATAATTGGTTTAAATACTGAAGATTCATATCTTAATATTCCACATATGAGGATTTAATTCCATGAAGTCTTAATGATTTCACTTCTGCGATTTTCTGAGCTTATTGACAAGGGGTTTGTCATATGTGGTTGGTCGGGCTCTTCCAATGAATTATC